AGGGGGACTGCGCCACACAAAATTTACACAAAAACAAATACACGGACAGGACATCATACTCAGGAAAACACAAACATACAGACAATTCAAAAAAAAAAAAAAATTCAAAAAAAGTGAATGGATCCGGGGGCTAGCCGTAAGCGTCCACTGCGCTATACAGTCCCGGGTCTGTAGTGACACAGACTTCACTCAAATTTGAAAACAATTAGGAATACAACCCAAAGAATCCATTGTGTAATGAATGCCAGCATGAGTCATGATCTGCTATATGCTACACGTTGGCTGGTATACAGTTAGTAGTTCTGAAAGATACGAGGGTGCTGTACCCTGTTGACATTGGTGCGTCAAACATGGGCACTTGAAGTCCATACCTATATAAACTTCTCATACTAGAATCGGATAGAAATATCGGACGGGACGACAAACTGACGTCATGTGTACACGTTTGCGAGCACGTAGAAGAAACTTTGATCGTTGGAATCCCATGAGGAATAGGGTGAAACAAACAACGAGGGCAAACTTTCCCTCATAGCACACTGTATAGATAATAATAATAATAATAATAATAATAATTTATTTTCGATAAAGTGATTTACATTAAAACAAAATCTCAAATCGCTGTACAAACATAACAATTTAACTATTAAACTTTATAAATTTACAATAAAATTATTAAAAACAGTAAAGCAACTATTAAACACATTAAGCAAATTGAACTTTAAAAAAGTTCATTGCCTGTCTTCATTAGCACGGTTGATATAGAACAGTAGAATGTTAAACCCAATTTTATTTCATATTATTCCATTTTGGAAATCAAAGAATTATAATCGTATGTGGCTTCTCACTTAGACGTCCACAACAAGTGTCGAACACGAACCCGGGTATATTAACTATTCTTGACAAACATAGCTACTGTGATTTAGGATATTTCGGTAGCTTTAAAAGATGTTAAATGGTTGCTTTAAAACTTTCCTGACCAATAAAACGGTACTTAACGGTAAAGTGTTTTTAAAAGATTTCACAATAAATAAATCAAGTTCTATTAACTGCAAATGGAAGTGACAAAAATGTTTGTTTACCATCAGGATTAATATCGCATTTAAAAGCCCTTAAATTACACTTAATTTTATAAAAGATAAAAACAATATGTTGTATTATCAATGACAAATCGTACAAAAAAAATTGAATAACAATGAAATTTCGATCTAATGTAATTATTCAGAATCTGCTTCAGGGATAATTGTTCGTGTGGCCTACTGGAGGAAACACACTAATATGAATGAAGGAAATTACGGTATCGGAGGTCACTAAAAACTTGTCAAAAATGGAGGCGATTCTATTCAAACATATAGCCACAGGAAATTAAGACATTTTCAAAGTAAGAATTAATAGCTCTTTTAGGTTTTTTTACATTTCCTTTTAAAGCCTACAAGATGTGAAATAGTTCAGACAATAAGAACTAGGGGTTGTTGAAAACTCCTACTGTGTAAATGATTCTTGATTCTTGATTTTTTGCGGATTTAAAATCTTAATTTCCACAAAATATAAAAATAAACGAAATTGTATAGCTTTACAATTAAATGTAATTATGTTTACATGGAATACCACAAACGATATATTGGAGATGTGTCACTGATTTTTTGACGATATACTTTAATGATACATTGAAGTCAAATTTTAACGATATATTGAAGTCATATCAACGATATATTGAAGTTATACATTAACGATATATTGAAGCTATATTAACGACATATTGAAGTTATATTGACGATATATTGAAGTTATATTGACGATATACTGCAGTTATATTAACGATACATTGAAGTTATATCAACGGTATATTGAGAGAGAGAGAGAGAGAGCGATAGAGAGAGAGAGAAATGGGTTTAACCTCCACTCGACACAAACTAGGTCATTTCGGGACTAACATATGGTTTAATTTTATTTCAACAACTCGCTTGCGCGTAGGGGTCTTTAGCAGTGGTAGGAAACCGGAGGGCCCGGAGAAAACCCACGAAGTTGGACAGGCGATCCTACTCCTTGTCACATACAACCGGGGATTCGAAACCACGCCAGTCGACTCAATGACAGACTTTATGATACAACGCGCGCGCACGCTAATCATTCAGCCATCCAACCCCCCACGATATATTGAAGTTATATTAACGACATATTGAAGTTACACATTAACGATATATTGAAGCTATTATAACGACATATTGAAGTTATACATTAACGATATATTGAAGTTATATTGACGACATATTGAAGTTATACATTAACGATATATATTAACGATATATTGAGATTATATTGACGATACATTGAAGTTATATTAACAATACATTGAAGTTATATTAACGATATATTCAAGTTATATTAACGATACATTGAAGTTATATTAACGATATATTCAAGTTATATTAACGATACATTGAAGTTATATTAACGATATATTCAAGTTATATTAACGATACATTGAAGTTATATTAACGATATATTCAAGTTATATTAACGGTACATTGAAGTTATATTAACGATATATTCAAGTTATATTAACGGTACATTAATAACCATGTATTGAAGATAAATGAGGATATATGAATGATATATTGAAGTTATATTAACGATATATTGAGAATGGTTTCAATTGTTAAAAGAAAACTTTCCAACTAATTACAATAAGTGCCTCGTGCGTGACATTATGGACTTGACGTACAGATGACTATGTTGCTATAAGACTATAAGACCGGCAATGTTGTATTCGCCTTATAGTTTTCACATTTCAACACCGTCGAAGATTCCTGAAACATCCCGATCACACGAGATATTCCACGAGCCTGGCTCCCAATGAAATCTCTCTAGGAATAATGCATTAATAATTTGCAACGGCTCGGTCACTTACCTATTCGATGAACAATAGGCATTATATATATTTTGTTATGAGAAGATTCCAGCAGATCAGCCGTATAATATTTCGTAATTTGGTTTACACGAATTCTGAGTTCGGATTAGTCCTAATCTGTGCTACGAGCACTGAAAACCACGGCTTGACAAATTCACATATACATATAAACAATATATTACTATATTTTAATTACAACTCAATTATTAATATCAGATATTGTTTTCAAAATCCCAATCTTTAAATCCGCTCATCTTTTTTTCCATTGTCTAAAAAAAATATTTAACTTTTCACGACTTAATTCACGTTGAAATAAACTGAGATTGATTATTAACAAAATATTAACGGCAGATCATCTGGTGCAATCGGATTAACAAAGGCTCCGTCATAATATTTATATAGGTGTCGTTGAACGGTATTAGACTGATAGGTCATTGAGTCAACTGGTCTGGTTTCGATTCCTCGGTTGTACGTGACAAGAATAGGTTCGCCTGTCCAACCTCGTGGGTTTTCTCCGGGTCCTCGGGTTTCCTCCCACTGTTAAAGAACCCTACGCGCAAGGGAATTATTGAAATAAAATTGAACCATATGTTCGTCCCGAAATGACCTAGTTTGTGTCAAGTGGATGTTATCTCTCTCTCTCTCCTCCTCTCTCTCTCTCTCTCTCTCTCTGCTAAAAGACATTGCTTCCTTCTACTCAGTATTTAAAAATGAGTATATATCAATTAGTCGGAATGTTCCGATTTTTTGACAAAAAGCCAATATTTTTCTACAGCTATAACGATGTAATTAATATCGATCAAATGAACTTTCTAATCCATCGCCATTACACCGCTCTTCATAGATTTACTCATTTAATTAAAAATGCGTCAATTCCTTTTGAAGTCTGCTCATACGATCAAGGGACCATTTTGTGTCGTTTCTTTACCCTAGGCTTTAACACTACGTGATGGTGTTATGTTCCTTCCATCTAATATACTTATTACAGGAATATTAATCAAATTTTTCTCATACCCCGCTCTTGACGTGATTTATATCATTTGTGATGCGAGATAATTGGAATTGTTCGTTTCGTTAAATGATACCAGCTAGCGGAGTTTTTCGTGGTTAATCTAAAATTGAGATTATTAAACGGAAGGAAATAAGTGGCAAGATGGATGAATGGAAGGTTTTATACTACATGTCAAATAAACAAGTAAAACGATTAATATTCATCCAGGGGTTCCGGGAGATCTGAAGTGCTGCGCTGCATGCATTATAGATACTGATGTTTTTGAATATTTCAATTGTTATGGTATCATCCAGGAAAATAAACGTTCTTTATCAAATGTAAAAATTACTCAATGTCAAACTTTTCTGAGGTTTTACACTCAAATTGGGTTTCAACAGAACGAAACATTACTCGTCACGGTGCCTCAGTGGATATGGCTGTTCCATGTGGTTTTGGGTTTGCGAATGACACCAAACCGATGTGCTGCTTAACGTAGCTAAGTCTCTAACTCAATATCATCCAAAATCTTCAACATTGAAAACACAAATTATTTGTCAATTTAAATCGACATTGATACTGTGATCTTACTTGAAAAAGATGGGCTTCTGATATCCAATATTTAAGACAAAATAAACAGTTTGCCATTGGTACACGACTCGTGTACCATAATGCGTTTCAGCCCCAGTTCTAGCAAGAGACTCGAGGAACGAGGCTAGACATATTGCACCAAACCAAACGGCGTATGTAGACTGGAATAACCAGGCGCTAGAAATTTGCATTCGATTGGGACTGCGGGTTTATTTCGCGGAACATAACTGATTTGAAATTAGAGTAAAATCCGGAAACCATTGAATGTATATCAGTTTTTATACATTCATATTACAGTATTATATGAGTTGCGACCCACTTTTGTCAATTTATAGGTCCCAAATGTTAGCGATTTAGCTCCTTTAATATAAAGAGTATACAGATACGCCACATTGCATGTGTACCTCTTCATTGGTCCAGTTCGAACAGAGCAGTACAACTTTAAACTCTATTTCACTTGATTTAAGCAGTTTCACACGACTCTAATGTATTTTTATTTTTTGTATTTTTCAGTTTGCTCTAAAGAAGAAACAACAGAACAGAAGCCAGAGGATGAGTCGTTATCGAGGATGAAGCGAGGTGGTCTTAACATGCTGAGGTTAGGTCGTGGGCTACAGATGTTACGCTTAGGAAAACGGACAAATTTCCCCATGTTCAGAATGGGTCGTTCTCAGCCCGAGCCTGAAGATAGTGATGAAGAACTCAAAGAACTTATTTTAGAGATATTAATGCAAAAACAGGCTGAAAAGTCCGCACTTGAAGATTATAACTACCCAGCACCCTACCCACATCCTCCCTCATTCCCCCGTTTTAAAAGATCTCTACCTGATTATCCCGAAACCCCAAAAGAAGTCGAAATCCCAGATTTAGACAAATTACAAGAAGGTGGTTTTGAAGATAAAAATGAAGATGATAAGATCAATGAATATTATCCAATAAGTTATCCAGAGATGGAAGAGGAAGAGGCCTATCAAAAACGAGCCTTAGGAATGTTACGTCTTGGTCGCTCCGGTACGGACGATGGAATAACAGAAGAACAAAAACGTCGTATGAGTATGTTAAGAATGGGAAAACGACCAATGAGCATGCTTAGAATGGGAAAACGACCAATGAGCATGCTCAGAATGGGAAAACGACCAATGAGTATGTTACGGATGGGAAAACGACCAATGAGTATGTTACGAATGGGAAAACGACCAATGAGCATGCTCAGAATGGGAAAACGACCGATGAGTATGTTACGAATGGGAAAACGACCAATGAGCATGCTTAGAATGGGAAAACGGCCAATGAGTATGTTAAGAATGGGCAAAAAATCCGATGATGAACATTCCGTGGAAACAAGAGGGCTGTCGATGCTCCGACTAGGGAGAAGTACATAAAGACTTCCGGTTTCCGGTGCTGTTTCTCATTGAAAATAGAAGCGAAATTATCATTTATAAACAAGAAAACCACCTTTCAAATTGTGCAATAATAACCCCTCCCAAGACCCCTGAATGTGTTATACGGAAAACTCATCCCCTTTAGTTTTGTGAGTTATTTTGTTTTGTTACTTTCTCTTAAATGTTAACAGGATTTTAAATTCGTACCCGGAAACCAATGACTATATATGGAGTTGTTAATTATATGAAAGTGGTATCAGATGTTCTAGAAATAGTAAGCATACCCCGTCTCGTACAATGACAAGATCAACAAACAAGAATCAAGAATCAAGTTATACTACCGACCTTTGAAAATCATCGCCCTAAAACTATTTGTCACATTTCCATATTTTTAATTACTCCTGAGTCATTTAAACCGAAACTGCAAACTTTCATCAATAGTTCCGCGATCAACAGTTTGATCTGGTGCTTTCTGAAGGTTTTTTTTCTTCTGTGAAAGTGCAGAATTTGTGACCAATATGGCATCAGCAAGGCTTTATCGAACGATCTTTAATCGTTAGTGGAGAGTAAGATCAAAGATAACTTTAAAACTTAACGGAACGAAATGATTTAAAGCTTATTACACCGAAGATACCTTATATGAAGAACACCAATCGATGTACACTGGGCCATAAGAAACGAAACGAAACAGTCATGTTTTATTGTTACGACGTTAAATGCTTGATACCAATCGCTGAACACTAAACCTAAGCCACACACAGAATCACGGCTTAAATCAGGAACTGAAACAAAAATTACAGTGGGTGAATTGTAAGCAATAGAAAGTGGTATTGAGTGTTCCAAGAAGGGTAAGCACACCCTGGCTATGTCACGATCTACTCCAGTAAATACAACACAACCCCTTCTCTTTGTGATTGTTTTATTTCGTTTTGTAACGGACTAACTTAAAACATTCCATTTATTGTTTTTGTTTACGGTGGGTAACTCACGCCCATTCTTCCCAAATTTCACACCCACCCCTCTTCTCCTCGTGAGCTCGGATTTTCTCCCTTTTATTAAGTAATATATATATATATATATATATATTTATTTAGCTAATAATTAAAATGTATGCCAATATGTTTATGAGATGTTACATAGAAATGTTGCCTTTTCGGTGGCTGTTAAAACAATAACAATAATAATAATTCGTTTTTGTAAAATATTTGAAATAAGAAATAAACAATTCTAATTTTTACAGAAGACGCCCTTCGCTTTCGTTTCAGTTGTAAATTTGTAATGTTTGTTTTTCATCCAACCACAATAAAAATGAAAGGTTTTGACATGACGTCACTAGTAGTTTTTGCAGCAGGACTCGCTTCCATCTGGAGTCTGATGATAGGTCTGTTAACGACCTACCCCCACATCATAGATTGGGACGAAGAAAATACTATAGCGTCATAAAGCCCCCTTTAAAGCTAACTTGTAAAGTCGTGGCCAGGTCGTGGTGCATGTATGAATGGGGTATTAACACCGGTAAATGTTTATTTTCCCTTAGCCTCATTGACATTATCATCTGGCACGGTACCTCCCTGGGGACATCAAATTGAGGAATCCATAGAAAAACGGGATTGGTGGAATGGAACTGAAAGGGGGAGGTGGGGAGGGCCTGACTAGTCGTTTGGATGGGACGAAAAGCCGAGGTCCCGTGTACACATTGGCGTGCACGTAAAAGATTGGAATTCGATATAAGAGTAGGCCGTAGTGCCGCTGCCCGGGCAAAATTTCCCTCATAGCACACTGTATGGCGTATGCCCGTCTTCATTAGCACAAATCGGAGCAGAACAGTAGGACGTTAAACCACATTTCATTTCATGTCTTTGCACCGACTGGACTACTGACGACCGGCATTACGTTCAAGAAGATGGCGAAAGCGGGTGCCATATATTCTTCTTTCTGCAAGTAATTCAGGGTTGGGTTTTAAGAAATTAGAACGGTTCTGGGTTATTGAATACTAATTACATTCATGGACATGATCGTGCTGATCACTTGGTACTGGTGGTGTATCCCTTCAAGGTGGGCGTACTAATCACATTCATGGACATGACCGTACAGATGCACTTGGTACTGGTGGTGTAACCCTTCAAGGTGGGCGTATTAATTACATTCTATCCTTACAGAGAAAGTAACTTACGAGTGAATTAATGTTGTATGTTCTTCTCTACTTGAAACATGATAGACGAAATAGTAGAACTTATACATACAACTGGACTAATAGTAAAACTAGTACAGATAACTGTATTAATAAGTCAATCACGTTATCCTGCATCCAGTTCATGAAAACATTTGTCAGCCTTCAAACAGAGGATTGTCGTGGTAGTCGAGAGAGAGAGAGAGAGAGAGAGAGAGGTGGGTTTAACGTCCACTCGACACAAACTAGGTCATTTCGGGACTAACATATGGTTCAATTTTATTTTAATAATTCGCTTACGCAGTGTGGGGAAACCGGAAGACACGGAGAAAATACATGAGGTTGGACAGGCGACCCTACTCCTTGTCACGTACAACCGGGAATCGAAACCACGCCAGGTGACTCAAAGACAAAGCTTATGATACAACGCGCACGCACCAACCATTCGGGCATCCACCACCTCCAACTTCCCATCGATCGGTCAGAGCGTAATAGCTATGGACTCTTGTCTAGAATGGCATGTGCATTCTGTACACAGAGATCCCTCTACTTCATACTTCGAGAATAGATCTCTGACCTAAATGACCGCCATATCCAAATATTGTTTTGTAATACGGTTCTACTGTATTTTACATCTTCAATACACAGAACGACTAAATAAACATATTTAATTTAATCAAATGGAAGCGGAATTAACACTTCTCAAAATTCTCAAGGTGTACTTAATGTTTTCGACTAAAATCGTCGATTTAATGATAAAAATGTCGGTCAACTAGCTTAGTTGATGTTGTCAATAGACGCTAATTGTAGACAGTGTGAGTTTAGTATGAACAGCAGAAGATTGTCGCGGAAGTCGATCGGTCACAGTGGCACTAGACTCTAGGATGGGTTCGAATCTAGGCCTCGAAGGATAATCTGGATATTTCAAACCCGGTCTCAGGGGTGGTGTCTGTGGAGTGCCCGGTCATTCGGAAGGGACAACAAAACAAGGTCCAGTTGCCGGAAACGCCAAAGCCTCGAAGGATAATCTGGATATTTCAAACCCGGTCTCAGGGGTGGTGTCTGTGGAGTGCCCGGTCATTCGGAAGGGACAACAAAACAAGGTCCAGTTGCCGGAAACGCCAAAGTCTGAGCAAAATTCTTGCATTGTACACAATACCACCGATTATCTTGTATTTTATCCTGACAATTCCGGACGTGTTGTGTTTACGACACATTAAACTCCATTATATTCCCAGTCTCAACTCTATAGAAAATGATGCTATTGTCTGAGGAATAACATACGTGTGCGGTGCTGGGTAGGAGAATTTCGCCAGGACAGCTGCGTATTCCGTCTACTCTTTCCCTAATTACAACTTTACGCTTGCTATTGTCTGAGGAATAACATACGTGTGCGGTGCTGGGTAGGAGAATTTCGCCAGGACAGCTGCGTATTCCGTCTACTCTTTCCCTAATTACAACTTTACGCTTCGTATTACTATGTTACTCGAAGGCTTGGCCGAGAAAGTTCATTGGGATTTTCCGGCGTGGTTTCCCCCTTGTCAGGGGTGCTGCTAGAAGGAGGGCCTGGCAAGGACAGTTGTCTAGTCGTTCGGATGTAGCGAAAAAACGATGTGGCGTGCACGTAAAAGATCCCTTGGCCGTTGGAATTCGATATAAGAGTAGGCGGTAGCGCGCTATCCGGGCAACAATGCCCTGATAGCACACTGTATGGCGTATGCCCGTCTTCATTTGCCCAGTCGGAGCAAAACAGTGGGACGTTAAACCCCATTTCATTTCATGTACTTATTCGAAGTCCTATGCACCATTTATTGTCAGCCATTATGGACCCGTCGAAGTTCGGTTTTCAAGACATTTGACATCAAGCTTGAAACATACATTATTCGATCGATCTATGTTTTATGAGTGGTTTAAACCCCTATTCATTAATACTTTTAAGTGGAGACTTATAAAAACAATGAACGTTAAAGTAGCTTATTGGAATATCTATAAATGTTCTTACTACGTCCAAGTACCTAATTGACATATAGACAGCCATTTAACGATTTCTAAACAATCTATACAAGGATATTGTATTTCAATTCTTACTTAAAGGGAGAGAGAGAGAGAGAGAGAGAGAGAGAGAGAGAGAGAGAGGGGGGGGTAACGTCCACCCGACACAAACTAGGTCATTTCGGGACTAACATATGGTCTACTTTTATTTCAATAATTCGCTTGTGCGTAAGGGTCCTTACGCGTAGGGATATTTAACAGTGGCAGGAAACCGGAGGACCCGTAAAAAAACACAAGGTTGGACAGGCGACCCTACTCATTGTCACGTACAGCCGGAGAATCGAAAGCACGCCATTTGACTCAATGACAAACTGGTACAGCGTGCACGTGCTAACCATTCAGCCATCCAAACACCTTACTTACAGGGGCATTATAAGAATTAGCTGGTTGTTCTCACTAGATAGTGTAAAAGGAATATGCTCCACTCTGAACAGGGATATTAGCGTTTGAATTTTAGGCCTAGCCTCGATCATCATTACTAATATTGGTACGATAAAAAACATAGTCTCGAATATCAAATTTTGGATTAAATCATCAATGAGCGTTGAGCAGCAAATCGGATTCAAATCCAGTGAAAATCAAGAGTTGATTATGGCCTTGTCATGTTAATAAATGTCTAATTAATAGTTTATATAACATTTCAGGCCCAAAGAAAGATCTGCAATAGGCAGATTTAGCTCTTGCATAATGTATGTTTAAAGGGGCATTATGTAAGAATTAGAAAAAGAGCAGGTCATTCTCACTAAAATATTTCAACAACATAATGCGAAATGAATATATTGAAAATTTTATTCAAATTACTTTACTTTGAGCGAAGTTATCAATTGTTGTAGTTTTGGTAAGATGTGTGCATTGATGGTTACTACCGTACTGGTAATTTAAGACTTAGCCTCGCTTCTCCATTTTTGAATTATATCAGTAAATGGCCGAACCGTTTTAATCTACTAACGGTCGAGCAATCCAATGGCACCAATGGTTGATTATGGTCTTGTCATTTTAATAAATGTAGGCCCACAGAAAGATCTGCAATGGGCAGATTTAGCTCTTACATAGTGCCTCTTTAATATCATTACAAATGAAAAAAAAATGGGGTTTAACGTCCTACTAAAGACGGACTATCAGTACAAAAACAATATACGAGATAATCAGTCCAGAGTACTTAGACTTACTATCAAAAAGAAATAAAATTGGAACTAATGTTTGATCTCCCTGTAACATATAGTGTGCTATGGGAGAAATGTTGCACAGATGTGGTGCCGATTCCTTTATGTGCCTGCAAACATGAGACAAGGGGAAACCAGGTTAGAAAATCGGGAGGCAACAATGGGATCCAGGACCTTCTGGTGAGTGAGCTTGCCACCATGTCTCCTACTTTTTAAAGACAGACGCACCAAAACAACTTACAAACGATGCCCCCCCCACACACACACACGCCCCCACAACAAACATAACAAACGAAAACAAGTTCCCCGATCAAACGAAACCAAACTCCTCTAACAAACGAAAACAAACTCCTCTAACAAACGAAAACAAACTCCTCTAACAAACGAAAATAAGTTCCCCGATCAAACGAAGCCCTACTCCCCTAAAAAAACGAAAACAAGCTCCCCGATGAAACAAAGCCCTACTCCCCTAACAAACGAAAACAAGTTCCCAGATCAAACGAAGCTACTCCCCTAAAAAAACGAAAACAAGTTCCCCGATCAAACGAATCCCTACTCCCCGAAAAAACGAAAACAAGCTCCCCAGTCAAAACGAAGCCCTACTCCCCTAACAAACGAAAACAAGTTCCCGATCAAACGAAACCCACTACCCCTAACAAACGAAAACAAGCGCCCCAATCAAACGAAGCCCCTCTCCCCTAAAAAACGAAAACAAGCTCCCCGATCAAACGAAGCCCACCTCCCCTAAAAAAAACGAAAACAAGTTCCCCTATCAAACGAAGCCCCACTCTCCAAACAAACGAAAACAAGTTCCCCGATCAAACGCAGCCCACCACCTCTAACAAACGAAAACAAGGGCTCCAATCAAACGCACCAGAACTTTGACACTGTGACTTCTTAAGATAGGCGAGTCGTTGTCCTATTGTATTATTGT